GGGTTAGGTCACTTACGTTCTGTAGCCACGGGCCACGGCCTAAACGGAGACTTCAACTGCAGAGGTGCAGGCGGTTCTCGGGGGGTCGTAATGTTAGAGCTTAGAATATTTAAATTATTTACGATAAACAACAACCAGTTCTATTGGAAATATTAATGAAAATTTAAAATTATAGTTGAAAATAGTAAACCGTTATTATAGATATTTTAGTCTTGACGTGTATAGTAGTGTCGTGTAAACTGTGTATCTAGTTTCTACATACTTCGCTTACACTTTGATTAAATAGACGCGAAGATTCGAGGAAATATTAAACACGCACTATTGCCAGTCTGCGGACAATTATTATTATATTAAATTGATATTGTTGAATCAATAATAATTCATTCAGTCAGCCGATGGTACATAATATAATACATAGGTATAAAAGTAGAAAAATGATATTGTACAATTGTTGGGTGCTTGATGGATTTTCAGTTTGACGGATTTAAAAATCGTTCATTTTCCCACCGAATAAAATAATAGTAAATCCGATTTACACGTTTGAATGTTAAATAATATAGATAGGTATTCACTTACATTCTGTAGCCACGTCCTAAACACAGACTACAACTGCAGAGGTGCAGGCCGTTCTCTGGGGCCGTGATGATAGAATTTAGAATAATTAAATTATTTACGATGAACAACAACCAGTTCTAATGGAAATATTATTGAAAATTGAAAAATTACAGTTGAAAATACTAAACCGTCACTATAGATATTTTAGTCTTGAAGTGTATAGCTGTAGTGTCGTGTAAACTGTGTACCTACATACTTCGCCCCGCCCATTGTAAAGTCGCTTGTTTCCGTTAAAACACGTACCTATATGTTTGCGGCAAGCAAAATAAATCAAAAAAGTTTAAGTGGTTACATTTGTAAAAAAAAAACCATCTACTCGTATTTTTTATTCAACGATTATTCAAAACACATTAGGCGATAATAATCACCTTTTAAGGAACGCCATTAGAAGACAAAATCGAGTATAAATAATAATTATAATATAATATATTATTATTTTTTCTTACTTTGGAGTTTGGGGTTGTTAAATTAGAATAATATATTATAATGGTTCTTTTGTCCTATCTATGCGACGGTTATTAGTTATTACACAGATGTATAATACATTATGCGTCCATTAGTGGACTCAAACCAGTTTTTGTTTAAGTGCAAATTTGAATATTCTTATTTCTTGGTGTAGGTACATTGCGTTGTTTACAGTTGTAATAACCGCTGGCGGTCAAAAATAATTACTATTATTATTCATTATTATTATTGTGGATAATATAAATATTATATTATATTACACGATTCAACTAAATTAAATGTACGAAAATGATTTACGCATATAATTAGTCCTACCCTTCAAATTACTTTTTGATGATCTAATTCGTTCTTCCAGGAAATATCAACGTACACAATGTATATTGTATGTTAATTTTGAATAATCAATTCAGAAATATTATTTTCAATATTACCATAACTTTAGATTCCCTCAAAGATTTGTGTTTAAATCAAAAACATATTTGTCAAATCATTTCGCGCCCTTAACCATTTTTAATATTTTATTGGTCAAGTGTACGTCTTACGTCTTAGTATGTAATCCTATTCGTACTATCACTGATGTCATATATTCTGTTAATTCCGTCGTACGATTGTTTAACACATTATACTCAGCATATTATGTATATGCACTAATATATTGTTCTACTTAAAATATCACTTAATTAGACATTTATTAAACTTGTTTTTTTTTTTTTTTTTTAATATCTCAATAACTGTGCGTCTTAAATGACCTAAAAAGTGTATTTATTTCTAATACGCCGTAGAATGTCGCTTAATTTACCATAACGTATAATATGTAACATAATATTATAAAATTAAATATATCTAACGCTCACCCACGTACAATTACAGCGTATTCAGATCATATTTATTAATATTTTATTTATAAGCACATATTTTCATACTTTGTTACCTTATTGTTCGTTCCATGAATTTTACATATATTATTTATATTCATGAACTGCAGTCAAATTTCGTACGAGTTTCTTTTTTTAGGTACCTCTATGTATGATATACACTACCAAAAAGGACTCGTGACGTTATAACTTTAGATTTATAGATAAAAAGATATGAATATCTTTTGCTGTTCACGTCGTCTTCAATCGATGTATACCAACTCGAACATATTCATGCAGCACTGATCATTCTGGTAGACGGTATCAATGGCGGTCATTTCTCAAAAGGGGTAGGATATGGCTGATTTTTTGACGTGCACTTTTTTATTATTAAAAATATAATTTATGGTTATCAGATATTAAACATCGAAAAAAGGTCATTGGGAATCTACCCTCCCCCCCATTTAACCATAACTGGAGGGTAATATGCACTTGTAGATTTTTTCAGTACTTATATAATGACTATATAGCTAATAGTTTCTAGCGTAGCGAAAAATCATATTTGAAAAAAGTAATAGGTACCTACATAAGTTAACAAACGCAACAGCCATAACATCAACTACAATAATAATTTACATGTGTTTTTTTTTTAACTATTCATTTTGACTTTGAATGCTATTCAGTACCTATTTTTATACTTTCAAATCTAATATCATAATACACAACCACAGTAGGTACCTTTTAAATCCCGGGATAAATGGAGTGAATCGAGATAGCAGTCCCGTCTGGCGTGTTTTTTAATCCGTCCAAAAGTATAAAATATATGTTATACTTTGAACCTATACAATTCCCGTTTTGGCCGGTTTGTGCTAGAAATTGAAAATAACACGACCCACTCTTAATAACTAAAAATATTATCGTTCAATTTACATCACTCACAAACCAATAGTAGATGTCGGTCAAATAATTCAGATGAAACGCTAAATAAACTCTAAAAAAGTAACCACTGTGATGTGAACTTATAACCTAACCTGACCTAACCTCTCATATATTATGTAGTGCCAACAATTGAAATAACATTCGACGTGACTAGATTTTTCTGACCAAAATCCTAATACACGATGGTGACAAAACGTGTTATTGTAAACACTTGGATTATATGACAAACCTTAGGTACCTAATATAAACTACACAAGTTTCACTATTGTTTTCATATTATTTGCAAGTGTTGTACATTTTATAAATTTTATACAATGGATATGGTATTTTATGAAGTAACATAGCCGCGTCAGTATCTTACAATAATGTGTTGAACCGCTAAAATTATGTTATGACGTAAATGGTCTCTTATACATAAATTATAGTTATGTTAGTTTTATCCTAATTCAAAATAGGTTATCATTTCGTTTTGCAACGTTTTCAGTAAATATTGTTTTATATAATATCTGTGAGTACGTTTAGTCAGATATTTTTTAGATAGGTACTAACTACTATAGGTAAGTACCGTTTATATAAAATATATATATTATTATACCTATAAGTGTAACTTGACCTCTAAAACGTGGGGTACTTGTAAATGCTTCTCAGTGCCGTGGAGGACTTTGCCCCAAAATAGACCAAAATAGTTTTGATGTTTTTTCGGTAAATTTATCATAATTTAAAAGCATAAAATTGATAGTATTTCAGTATATTAATAATTGTTTTATCTAAAAAAACAAGGGGTGCTAAAGATCTCCAAAGTTTTCCCAATGATTAAGCCTCATCGTATTTGACTCGTTTGATAAATTATTTTCTAATCAATATTTTTATAATATGATTCTAGAGGACTAGAATATTGAAGTAAGTAGAAGAACAGTGTAAAGAGTTACAATTATTATTAGTACAATATTTTCTATAGATATTTTCGAGTGTTCACTTCTTAAAATAATAAAATATAAAAATTCTTATCAATTCTTCAAGTTAATTTATGTAAATATTTTAAAAATTGAATTCTAACATTTATAAAAGTTTTAAATAAGCCATACGTACAGTAGACAGATGACAATTTATGAAAATATACACAATAATATTTATATTATATTTATAATAACAAAATAATCGTGAAGTCCATAAGAATTGAGTATTAGTTTAGCTTTTCAGTATTAGTATATTTTATCGTTTGATCATCGTGTCATATAATCTGTCTACAAATATAATATATTATATTATAGATGTTATAGTAAATTTGTACGCTTCAAAAACACAGAATAAATAATATTTTCTAAAATATTGGGTAGTACCATTGGATACTGGTTTACTTCAGTATACCATTCGTACACTATCTAGGTAATAATAAATAATGTTTGGATTTATTTATTGATTTCATTTAAAATTCGATTCTCGTCGAAAACGGAGGAAATAAAAACAACAGACTTATAATTTATTAACCGTACACGTAATGTATATTATAATTATTATCGTAATGCACATCACTTAAGTATATTATAAACGTAATAATGATATCATATCGAATATGGTTTACACATAATATCATATTAATCGTTGTGTCGTGCCAACGTGTGGTGCAACCACATTGATCGGTGGTAGGGGGAGGGTATAATGATGCGTCGCTCAATCTGACCGTCGATCGTATTATGAATTGATGAGTACATTTTTTTCATGTCAAAATTTATGAATATTTTAATATCGTTTGTCTGAAAAAAAAAACAAAACATAAATACGTCGCTCCGGTGGTCACGATATTGAGCGTGTTATTACGACCATATATATCCTCTCCTCGGCATGCTAAGCGAGTACATATTACATAATATTAGGTATACATATTATGCGTTAGAGGGTCATCCACCCATATCGAAATAAAACGAAAAAAAAATTATTTAAAAAAAAAAAATCAGTTTGTTTAACCGTATAAATGATGTGAAAATAAATAAAATTTTACTCGTTAAATATATAATAATAATAATGATCATCGAATGGCAAGGACTGATGTGATATCATAATATTATTACTATCATCGTCGTATATAATATTAAAATAATATCCGTCGCGCGCACACTGACGAGTCCGTCAGTTAACGTATTGGTCGGCTCCGTACACTGGTCGGAGTATGAACCCCCAAGCGTGCGACTCGGGTATCTTGTACAGCGGGTACGTGGGCCACACCTGCGCAGTGGCGTCGACGGCGGTGCTGCTGCTGACCTCAGGTCCCCGCGGCCCGGCCGCCGACCTCCTGCTCTTGACGCCCGGCTTGACGGCCGTCTTGATCGGTTGCGGTGTGCTGGTGGCGGAGGCAGCGGCGGCGGCGACCGCGGCCTTCTGCCTGTGCTTGCCGCCATTGCTGGCCACGCCGACCAGCGCTTCGGCGCCGGGTATGCCGGCTATGGCCGTGGCCACCGGTTTGGCCAGCGCCAGGCCACCGGGTCCCACCACGGCCGTGGCCACGGGCTTGGAGGACGCCACGCCACCGGTGCCCGCGATAGCCAGGCCCACGGGCTTGGCCTCGGCCACCGACGCGTTGTCCGGAGGCAGGTTGACGCTCACTGACTCGTTGGGCGGCTCGTTGGACGACGAATCCGACTCTTCCTCCTGTTGGCCCACGTCGTCCTCATCTTCCATGTGTCCGTCCGCCGCTTGTGGTGGCTTGTGATCCTCCACTGTGGTCTTGCCCGAAGGGTGGATCACCAGGAACTTGCCCTTGCCGCTACCGTAAAACGGTACAGCCTGCACCGCGTCTTCGGCGTTATCTGCGAACCCTCGGTGTTGGGCTCGAGACAGGCTGTGAACAGACAAACAAAATATAATATTATTTAGCATTCGAGGTTTGTTATCGGTGTTATGATTCGGTAGACGTATACGATCTGCGGAATATCGGTACGAACGATATACAAGCGTTCAGTGTAATATTACGGATCGCTGTAAATTGAGTTCCATTTGTAATTTTTTATGTAAACGGCGGTCCGTTATTATTATAACAAACGTTTTGTATATTATAAAAATATGTAAATTTCTGCCTAAATATTTTTTATTCATAGGCACGTAAATTATGTCTTGCGATATTTTCTTTGTTTTTTGTATCTGGCAATACAGCTGGTTTAAATACAAAAAATATTGGTTTTGCTGATAATTAAGTGATTATAGTGTATACGATTAAAAATTAATTTGTTATTAAGTAAATGGTAAAGATATTCGTTTGAATTAATGATAATTATTTCCGTACAATATCTAAACGAATAATAATTTTGGTTTGCAATACTTCAATTTTTTTCTTGTATGTAATTTATATATTTTTTTTCCATTTTTTTATTATTTTTTTGGCCCTGACTTTTCAAATTAATATGATATATTAATTGCAAGGTTTTTAAAAATGCCCCACAACGCAATTTACCTAGTATATTAATGTGATCTGTATGTTTAATGTTAAATAATTGTTTTCAAGATTTAAATACAAGTACCAAATACCACTACCAGGTGGTTTACCCAGTATAGTAAACAACATATATACAGGTACAATATAAAATACATTATACATTTTACATTTATGTTGTGTACCTATCTAATATTGGTTTAATCCTTATATTATACTATGTTCAGTCAGAGTCTTGAAGATATTATGCTGGTTATATTATGGTTATAATCGAATCTTTAGTTTAATATTTTCATTGATTCTCAATATTAATACCTAGCAGCCATAAAAGGGTATTATAGTTTTTATAATAAATGATATTTTGAAAAACAAGCACCGAAAAGTTAAAATCATCGTTAAGTTCTAGTCCTTAAGATATATTTATATATATATACAAAGAGTACACTGTATATTTAATGTGCCCTTATTACCCTATACATATTTTTGAAGTTTGTATAGTCGGAAGTTCGGAACATGAAACTAGACTATTGGATCATCAACCTTCCGCAGGCAGAATTTTAAAATATGTATGGGGTACTGAGTAATGTAGGTAACTGAGTTATTGAGTGTACCCATTATTCGTGGACACATGGTATATTATATGCATGTAAGAAATATAACTTTGATGATAATCATTATGTACCTAGGTGCTAGTAATAAAACGCGGATGTACAGGATACTCATCCGGGGACGGGTGTGCACCTACATGGCGACAGTGAACTCTCAATATTTTAGCACCTGAATACATTTTTTTATTAGTCTCTATACAGCCCGACGTGTACCTACCCATAGTATACTATATACGTATACATGGGTATTGTAATGGGCTATTATAATATAGCCACGTATAGGACTGGATGCGTATAACATTATTGTCGGTAAACAACGCTGTAAGTGCGTCTATTCAGCCATTTACACGCCGTCAGTGCGCGCGTCTATTGTTGTCCTAAGATAATAATATTTGCACTGCATTCCTACGCCATTATTAATGTATTTTGCGTGTGCGTTTTTTCGTCGACGTATGATATATAAAATTTCAAATAAAAACACTTGGCTAGTAAGATTTACTCTGTGGATTTCATACCTATCCCACTGACCACCTGTGAGCGGCACTGACCGTGTCGTGTGATTACTGTGTGCTCAGTGTAATAATAATACCCAAATATCTATAGTATAGGTATACCAGCTATACACAACAGCTATTAATGCGATAATTATTGTTGTCGTCGTTAATCGATGGCTCGTATATGTATATCTACACGGCATGATGATACGCGATATGGCCATTCGCCCGGAGTGATTGTCTTCGAGTGGTAAAGAAAAAAAAATTAGCGCGTATCTAAAGTAATGCGGATAAATAGCTAGGTGTATTCGTCTGGGATTTTCGTCCGTATTGTTCCTCTGCAGGCGGCAAAACGACATTAATTCAAAGCGCGTGTTTCGCCGACCCGGGTGGGACGAGTGGAAGAAGGGGGTGACGAAATAACTGTTCTTCGACTACATTATAATAATAATAATAATAATATAATATTATAGGCACGGTCCGGCGAAATGGGCCAACGTGGTTTTGGCGACCGGTCAAAACGCGTCTGGTTAGCCGCCGCCGAGACGTGGATGTTCGTGACGATGTTTTACATATTTTAAGGTCGCACCGCTATAATACTGTAATAATAATATAGTACAAGTAGATGGAAAATTAGTAAAATATAATAATATTGTTTCTTATATAGGTATATACTATATATATATATTATATATATTATTATATAGGTACCTAATGGCTAATGAATTTATGTTTAATGTTCGGAATGCGCAGTAGAGTGTAGCTGAGACGGTTTTACGTTAATTGTTGCTATAATAATATCGTCGTCATACCTATTATATAGGTAAGAGGTGATTCACCCCAAATATTTTCTTTCTTTATAAATGTATTTAAATTGTGTTTTTTTTTATTATTTAAGTATACCTACCCGTTTTACCCGTATCAATTAAGAAGCGTAGTTGTAGGCAATACAATTTATTTTTCAAATGAGAATCACCCTTTTTCTGCTATTTGTTAAACAAGTAGTTATTATGAATGTTTTGATGTCCTATATAAATCAAATTCTAAACTAGCACTTTCTGAGTTATTATGCAACTAGCCCTATATCCTATAAGGATATAATGGTACAAGGTAATAGGTTTTGAAAAATATGGCCAATCATAGCTATGATTATAATTTATTTATAGTATAAGTAATTAATATTATACATTTATTAAAATTATAAAATTATAAAATTGTCCGAGTATATAATATATACCAGATCACTAGACTAAAATATTTTAAATTACATATATTTTTAATTTTACCTGAAACCATTAATAAGGACTATATGTATTAATTATTATACTAAGTAAATAAAGTTAAATAGCCTAAAAACTACTTGTTAATAATTTTAATTAAAAGCACCTAGGTTTTAAAAAAAATCATGTGCTAAACAATTTACAAGAATAGGGTGGTTCTCGTTTGAAAAAAAAAGTTTCTTCCAATTTACAATGGTATACAAATTTAAATATATTTTGAAAAGAATAGGTTCTTAAGTATACCTACTTAAAAAGGTCAGAATATGAAAAACGTATGGATGATTTAAGGAAAAAAGGAATGGGATGAGCATTATATGATATGCATTATATGATTATTGATGAAATAACCCATTATATGATCGATACAATTATTTTTATGACAATATTCTTATAAACGTCTTAAGAAAAACAAATTTTGAATATTGCAGTGATTAGTGGAATCAGTGGCGTAGACATGAATTTTCATTGGATGCAGGGGGATATATATTCATTATTTCTAATTAATTATTGTCTGTTAACGGGACACTGTCCACTTTTGAGGTTTTGTAGCCAATAATTGTTGTGAAACTCGTTAGTCGTTTCTAAAATAATTTCATAATACATAACTATGATAGTTGTGTCCTATGTATCATAATTCATAATATATTAATATTAAGTAACATTTCAAAATGTGTGTTTACATTTAATGTATATGCCTAGTGCCTACAAAGATTTACTTTTGAAAATTATTTTCGACAGTATTATTTTAATCGAATACTGTTATATTACACATTGTTTAGGTAGTTACAACCACTGACACCATAATTGGTTATTTAATAAATATTTTACCATTTTGTGTTATCCATAATATAATATTATCATCATATACCTAGGTACTTAATATTACTATGTTAAGTATAATAATACGCTTTAGTACTTTGTTCTCAGTCTTTGTAAATTATTATACACTTTGGAGTTTGTAATAGATTTTTTGTTAATAATTTATTGATCTAAATGTATTATCTATTGAGAAAAGCTTAAAACCCACTTTATATCCATATCAATATGGTATGTATGTCCTAAATCAAATTAATTTTTATTTAAATTTGGTTTATAAATGTCGAACGATTAGAAAAGGTTTTGTTGATATTACAAAATACAATAATTTATTGAATAACCTTAAATAAAACTATATAATCATAGGGCATAGATGACTATAGTAAATAGACATTGGTAATTGGTATATTATCATAAATAATGCACGGGACACGTTTATCACAGGTTACTGTCTAGTACAGTGTACAAGGTATTAAATAATACAAAACAATATGTAATGTAATGCGGTTGAAATGTTTGTTGTGTTGCAGATACCTTGAATTGTAAGGATCATCTATTATACAGTATCGTTTATTGTTTATATAAATACATATATCATTGTAATAAGTGGGTTCATTCTTACTGCGTATAATATTATTATTTTGGTCGAAAATAACAAAAATTAAGTATGCATATTATTATAATATCTGAATAGAATGGAAAACAATAATAGAAAAGTAAAGTTATCGCGGTATACTGAACCCTAAAATACGAATAGTTTGGCCGGACTACGATGATAATTTAAATTGAATAATGTGATCGACAGCATAAAGATTCTGTAAATCGTGAAAGAAAACTAATTAGGCAAACACACGAATAACCTTGAAACGAACATGACAACGATGTGTATTTTATTTTATTGAACGTGGGTCATAAAAATATATTGAAATAATGAAATACACACATTTTCAATACGTACCTATACATAGTTTATTACTCTCATCTTGTCAATCACTATAAAATATAATATCGTTTCATGTTTATTTTGGGTTGTAAAAAAATGAAACTTGATTAAAAACCGAAGAGTATAAAGATACTTTATAGTCTAGTGATATTATTATGTGATATACTCGACTAATAACAAAATTATTATTATTTGTCATTATATTTGATTTGATTTTCAACGTAAACAAACCAGACTACGTCTGAACCACAAAATAAAAAAATAATAAAACATTATATTATATTATATTATATAAATATAATATTATTCATCTTATATGTTATGATTACCTGCCTACAAAATACAATCTACTTATTTTAAAATTAGACAGTATAATTATTATATTGATAATATCGATTAATTTAAACAGTTTTAATACGTCATGCTTCATACTTCAATTATCAGCACTAAGCAATCTCGAGAAGAATACTTTTTTTTTTTTAATCCAAATACCTATTGTATTATAAGAATGTTCAGAACATATTTTATTGGAATGAAGAATAACTTATTCGGTATACTGCGTGCCTATTTATGTTTACAGTTTAATTATCGAAGACATAATGTCGAGGTTTCTTAGGTTTTTAGTGCAGCAATAATACTATTAAGATTACATCATGTAGCGGAATGGCTCAGCTTTACATAATTACCTACAACCTTTAACTATTGACGAGATAAATTATTTTTATTCTTGTTTAAAATTATATAAAATATTTTCAAACAAATAAAAAAAAACAAAGGATATACTCATTATTGACAAAATGTTTACAACTACAGCAAAAAAGCTACAAACCAAATGGCCGAAACAAATGCTTTTAGTTTCTACAAGTACTTGCAACTTTCGGACGGTAGGTACTGACGAATGACATAATAACAATATTATCTACTTATAGGTGGTACAAAATGTTTTAAATAAACAGGTAGTATGTCGACTTAAATTAAATAGATATAAATAGATTGTAATAACAGTTCACGTGGATGGTTAAAATAAAATATGTATTATGTGAGTACACAAATTAACTATATGCACAGTGTATATTTCAATATAAAAATATAATATATGAACAGTAAATAGATAATGGGTAACTGTAATACATTATACGTACGTACGTTAAGTCCTACATTGTGATTAGTATTGTAGGTTACTTGTTATTAATAAACCCGTCGAGTGTGTCACGTTTAATTTATCCGTTTAATACGTCATAGGTTAAATCAATACGTTATAAAAAAAAAAAACAGATTGGATGAAGTAAAGACGTTTTATATAGGACGAAGAGTTATGGCATTTCACATTATATGATGAGCATTTATATGCCACAAATAAATAGTCATATAAGTACATCGATTCAAACATAAGTAACACACAATAATATTATTGTAACACGAGAATTAACAATTTGTAGAAAACGAAAATATTATTAAGTACCTACACTCATGTCACTATTGAATAAAAAATAAAAATAACATCATATAAAAATCATTATAGATTTTCTACATTGTATAAGTAGACAGTAGTAAGTACGTATAGATAATATATTACAACATATATTATTATATCATAACGAGTGTGTATGGCACAATTTATAGACCTAATGGTTTTTTTATGGCGGCGGCGGCGTCGTCGTCGATTTTTAGCTTTTTTGTTTCAGTCGATAAAATGGATGACTAGTTCCGGTCGGGATATGGCCACGCCGCCTTCGCCCGCTTCCGCAGTGGCGTCCGGAAGGTATTCAATGCTGACCGTGTCGCCCCTGCGGACCACGGCCGTGCTGATCGGGTTCGAAAGGGCCACGCCGCCGGGGCCGGCCTTCGCCCTGGCCGACGGTTTCAGGTATATCTTGGTGACCGGTCTCTCAGTGGCGACGGCCGTGGAGTTTTTCACCTGCTCCGCCTGTACGACCGGACCCGACGACGCCGCCGCCACTGCCGTCTTCCTCAGCCAACTCGGTCCTCCGACGCTCGGCGTGTTCGAGTGCAGCGGCTTGACCTGCGCCGGCCTCCACTTCCGGTTCGGGTCGGCGGCCGCGTCCCCGACTTCCGATCGGTCTGCCACGTCGTCAACCACGGTTACTCGGCCACTGTCCAAGTTCACGGCCACGGATCCTCTGGGCGGCGGTGGGATTGTGGCGGCGGCGGCGACTGCTGATCCAGTTCCGCTTCCGGTTCCGGCGACTCCGGGCCAAACGCCTAACGTCGGCACGAATGCCCAGTACGGCAGCCGATACCTGCGCATACAATAACCACGGTTAGGTTTAGGCGTTTGGCCCTACAATGACGAGATATCGTGTAGTGTTTGAACGTAAGGCACGTTCGATTTACGTATTATTTTGTTTTCGTTTGTTTGTTGTTGACGTTCGAGCACCGGTATACCTACACCATTAATGGTATTGGTATAATATTGCAGGTATATAACTAGTAAGCTACAGTGGTGTTGTCGGTACAACGGATGTGAAATTCCGTTAAGTGTAGTGGCATTCTACGAGTTCGTTTGAGATTTAAACCATATAATTTATTAGTATTATGTGGGTCGATCTCGTCTATAATATTACAGACGAATAAACAGTTGTTCACACAGATTATATACGAACGGTAACGTGCAAAAGCAAAAAACAAAACGCATATATTTTAGACGAATAATAAACGCATCGCTGAACTACACTTATTTTTATAAACACTCTATTTGTGTTTATGCTTATATAACTCAAATGAATAAAAATTACATTCCGAAACTTAAATTTAATATTGTCCGACGTATAGATGTAGCGAAATTCAATAATACTTTAGTGTGCATGCACTTTCTTTTAAATTAAATATTAATATTATTCTTTGTATAGATAAAAGAAGATGTCTTGATTAAAAAATCAACGTACAGTTGGAGACTTAAAATTTTCGTGGTAGTTAATGATGTTTGTTATATTTGTAAATATGTTTTTAGTTATGTTCTAACTGTTCCTTTTAAATAACTGTATTTAATTAATTATTTTTTAAGATTACTTGAGAACTCTCTACTCCACTACAAGCCTAGGATTAAATTAGTAGATAATATATTTTTTATCTCCTTATTATATATTTTAGGCCTTATATGTATTTGCAGTAAATAATTGTAAATAAACTATTCAATAAAAAAATATATCTTTATATATGTAAGGAAAAAAATATTACGAAGGGGGTGGGGGGTACTCACTTTTTTTGTATTCTCGTGTAATCTGCCTTTTATCATATCAACTTATTATGTCATCCGATATAGAATGTATATTTCGACTTAAAAAGGGTAATATTGCTAGTTATATAAAAATTCTATGATGGTTATAGATGATAAACGATAAAATGACTTACATTAGTAAATAATGATATCATCAATATAATATAAACGTTTAAAATTTAAATAAATTGTAAAAGTTATAATCATATAATACACAAAAACAGAGTACAAAAAAAAATAAGTTGTTGTGCATGTGAAAAATACAATGTGTTAAACAAATTATAACTTATAGAAATGTATGATCCTACAGTCTAGTTTCATGACGCACACACAGAATATTCAAATATATTTATATATAATATAGGTTGCTGGGTAGATGCTGAGTTATATATTAACTAAGTTACAGAGTACGTTTAAGAGCAACTTATGAACCATTTACTGTCCGCTTATAACAAATTTATATGAAGTATATAACGTTGGTACATAATATTTTTACATCAAACTTTACAAATGCAGTGTATCTGGTTTTTCTATTTGATTAACTACTTGTTGTTTTTAGGTTAGTAGGTATCTTGTTGATGTTGTTGTTGTTGTCGTTGTTGTTGTTGTTGTGGTACTTGTATTTTTTTTTTATACAGGCACAGTCACACAAATACACAACTAAGTAGCTTTATGACCATAAAGTTACGGCCTGTCACCGATTTCACGTATGGTAGGTACATCACTACCTCCGTTGGTAGAAAAAAAAAATCTTTGATGTGAAGAAAAATCTCGTTTTATTAGTTTATGGTTTGAAGTTTTTGTTATTTGAATATTATACCCACACAGTAACGCACTAATGCAATTTTAAATTGACGTGTTAGTACCACTAGTACCAAATGTCTAAATAGTACCTATAGTAAATCCATGAAAGGCTTATATTTTAAAATGATAATATAATACTCGTATATTAATATCATAGATACTTCATAAAGTTCTTCAATAATTAGTTATCAATTCAAGATTGTATTGATTCGTTACAACTAAATTAATTTTCTATCACAAAGCTTTGAATTAAAATGTCAAATGTACGTTGTATTTAAATTTAAATTTAAAAACATTTTTTACATATTATATACCTAATTATGTGAAATTATGTAAGATACAAAAGTTTTTATACAAATCTAGAGCAATTTTGAAATGCGAAATAATAAACTCAATGTTTGTATGAAATATAGTTTTGAATGCATTATAATATTATATACCTACTCCAATAACATTATTCTAAATATCACTTAGAAATTAATCAAAATATTTTACATTATAATAATGTGTTTGAATAAAATTATAATATTACAATGAGGTTATTGCAGTAAATAATATAATTATAATTATATAAGACTAAAATAATGTTTAGAAATAAAAATTTAGGTAGTCTAACTAAGTTTACTTATAAAATAAAACTTAATTGTATAAGTTAGCAGTTGAGATTACATATAGGTATCTTATTTAAAATAAGACTTAATTATGTTAACGGATTAACGAGCAAAACATTATAAATAATTGGTACACTCCGAGTTCACAGTTGAATATTAAAAGTAAACATTTAAAAAGAAATTTGAAAAATATTGTTAATTATAAGTATAGTATAATATTAAAGATCGTATAATACATAAAATATAATGTACTATGTATAACGTTAGGCACGCGTAATATTTTACTCGTATAACAATTATACACAATATTATGAGAATACAGCCTTCACCATAAGGTTGTATAATAATAGTTTGATAAATTAAGAGAGTACAAACAAAGAAGAGGAGAACTATTTAAATATTTATAATATTATACATGTAAATAATATTATGGAACTACAACGAGGTTTATAATCGTACCTATGTCATAGTGTATATTTTAATAATTATTAATTTATATGTATTATATAGGTATAAGTATATGGTGTGTAATAAATTATTGTTAAATTTATATTAAATATTTAAATTAGGTACTAAACATACTACTATAAAATATACGATAGGTAAACTTATGTACGTATAATAATAATATGCAATTATAGTGTTAATGTAGGCACAACAATTTTTATAGAGCTATAGTAATATCATATTGTTATCATCATGTGCAATATATCACGACAGTCTTGTGTTGTTGTAGAGGAACAAACGGATAAACGTACGGCGCTGGGGTTGTCCTCAGAACTGGTGGTCGACGAGTTTCGAGGACTTTTTGCTCTTGCGCGACTTCTTCCGGACGGACGGTTCCGGGTTGTAGTACACTATCGGCCCGGTGGCTATCAGCTTGGCGCCGTCCGGAAGTGAGATCTCGCGGCCGTCGCCTGCGTCGCGCCGACGTTGGGACGCCGCCGTCAAGCCACGGGACGGTGTGGGGAACGTGTACGCGACGCCGTCCGCGGACAGATAGGCCGTGCCGCCAGCCCGCGCGTCCTGCAAGCTCCGACCGAAACCGTTGTTTTGCTGCGGGTACGGCGCGTAATATCCGGTCGGGCCTTGCACCATCTGTGGCCCGTATCCGGCCATCGAGATGCCACCCGCGGGCACGGGGACGTCCGCGGACGAGCCGGACGCCGTGTGCTTGTTGCTATACGCTGACCCGCCGGGGCCCACGATGGCCGTACCACCGGATCCTGCGGTGGCTATGCCGCCGGGGCCAGCGATGGCCACGCCGCCGCGGCGCACCACTAGCCGCTTGATCTGCGGGCCCGTGTCGCCGTTGTGCTCAGTGGCCTCCTTGTCCGGCGTACCAGCCAAACAGCTTTGACGGTTCCGGCGCCGCGGTCGTCGTCGTGTGTTTGAACGGCCGCACGTGGTTCAGCAGCGCTCCCTTTTCCTCTTCCGACCGCGCGGCCACCGTGTTCCGGCGCGACCGTCTCCTCGCTTCCGGTCCAACGGCGGACACCTTACCGCCACCTGTCATCCGCCTAGTAGTTCGGGACGGTACCCCGTCGTCCAACCTGTTGGCGTCCTCGCCCGCCACGTCACCCGTCGAGTGCCTGCAAATGTCAGCGGCCGGACCGTACTCTATGATCTCGGAAAATGAGTTCATCATCGTCTGCAGCGGATCTTTGATCAATATCGGAAAGTAATCGGCCCAAGGCGACGACCAATCGATCCTCGACGACGCGTCACCGCTGTTATACATCCGATTCGGAACGCCCACGTTGCCGCCCTGCATTGGCGTCGCGAACACCGTGTGTCTGATGATCTTGCGTCTAATGGGCATCTGCAGGCGGTGGTCCGACACTGGTTCGTCGTCGCCGTTGTTATTATTGTTGTTGTGGTGGTGTTGCTGTAGCTGCATGTTGTTGTTACCGCCGCCGACTGATTGCGGTTCACCGTTCAGGTTATGGAGGATCTGACCTATGTACGGGTCGCTCGGCCGTTTCCTCGTCGAGTACTCGTTGTAGTTCTGGTACTTTTGAAGGTTTTTGTCTAAAAGGTCCCTAAGCGCTTCCAGTTCTTCTCTGGTTATGGAATCCAATGCCAGCTTTTTTGTCTCGGCCATTCGCAGGTGCGCTATAGATTTCAATCGGCCCAACATGTTTTCCGTAGTCGAAGATTCCGTTTGGTGTAGCGGAAGTTCGCTTACGCTATCACTAAAATACACAAAATTCTTATTAAACCACCCGTGTTTATAAAAGAAAAAAAACATGAAAACTACGAAAAAGAAACTATTTTTTAACCTCTCACCAAAAAATATTTTATACATTTTTGTTTGATATTTTATATCAAAAAAATGTTTAAAACTTTTACCGAAAGTTTATAATTCGGGAGATATATTCTTTTTCTATTAATTAAAAAAAGTAAAATATGTTAAATTATTTGAGCAGGAAAAAAAACAAAGCGTAACCGAAATATTTACAGGACAAAAATAATTAAAAAAAAAAAAATGTGTTTGAAAATAAGCTTACCTTCTATATACTATGTTACACGCATTGAATATATTGACCGATCCATTGCCATAATTTTGCATAAAGCACTAAAACCGTAGAAAACAAGAAAAAACCACCGAAATTGTGCACTGCTAACGTGTGTGTTTAGTAAAATATAATGTACTCAACTAATCCATTCAGCGTTTAAAGATTTTAAACTTGAAACTTTTGTCAGTCAGTACTTTGTTTATAATATTATCTTATAAGTCAGTTGCAGTTATCAAATGCGTTAATTTAGTGTTAAACCCATTTTTTGTACAGTGTTTAATGTTTATAATTTGTTAAGATGTGTATAGTGTTGTTGATATAGTAAAATATTATATTAATAATTATTATATTATATACATTAATCTATTTGTCACTTTCGAGAAGCGCAAAACAAAAACGTTTTTTTTTTTTTACTTACTGTTGGAAGTTTTTATTATCCCTCTTCGCTTCTCTTATGATCTCGTCGTGTTCGTCGATGTCCGACGGTCTGCTGTGTCCATAGGCGATCAGACAGAACAACAATACCTGAAAAATCGTTACATATAGTATGGAAAAAAAACTGACAAAAAACGAGAATGATTTACCTGGAAAAACATCATAATACTATTAATAGTTATGTTAACACGATACGTTCATATACATGCAGATGGTCCGAGAATCAAAAGCACTATGACCACTGACTACCCGACCACCTTTCACTGTAACCACGATTCCCTCTACCATCTCCTAAATCACACGCGGTGTTTAGTGATCATAATATTTTCTATAACTCCATTGTCCGTTTATCATTATAATGACGATGCCTATGCATAATGGCTGTCTAATCGATTTTTGATATTTGCTTCCGAATCCTCCTCGAGTGGCCTGATTTTACTTTTATTGTTGGATTATATGATTTATTCATCGCAAGTATAAGTATTTATTATTTAATATGAGATGGCAAAAGACCATATTATTATTATTGTTGTTGCCGTTGATGTTATATAGGTACGACCTGGTATAACAATATAACAATTACTTTCGAAGACACGTTTGTAATAGTCTTCATCATTTATAACGATTTAATTATAGATAACTCGTATAATAGCTAGTATAGCTGCTTTATAACAAAACCGCTATTTTTTATATTTTTTTTCTACTATAAACATGATATTTGTTTTAACATTTTTGTTTGAAAAAAAGTGATGTAAAATTATATCGGATAACATTCTGTTGTAATTTTAATAACAAGTGTTGTTTTTTTTAAGACTTTGAGAAACAGACCATCAATTAGTGATACTTATTAAATAATAATTTACGTGCTTGTAATATTTTATGCAAATCGTATTGAACAGAGTAAAATACTCATGGAAAGACCCGTTATAACTATCTCATCATGTTTTGTTTTAAACACATTTCTGGAGTATGACTTAGACAAAAACAATAATTATTAACCAAACCGGGTTAGTGGGTGGTAAATGGTAATTACACATTTTTATAATCTGTACAACGATAACCACACAACGATAAAGTAATTGTCGTAAACAATTCACATTATTCTATTCTAATTTCGACTTCCGGCCAGCCACTGTTATCTTCTACTGCAGATCCTTATCGCCACCCCGTGTTACTGACACGGAATCCTCGCATTATGTCTCTCTCTCACTCCTATGTCTGTCTCTCTGCTTCTCTGTCCCTCTGTCCCGCTCACACTCGCTCTCAAAAGACACTTTCATATGGGCCGACGGGTTGTTCAAACACAATCTCGGGGTACACGCGAAGGGGTGTTATTAAATCGGTCGGAGTTCAGATCCGTCTGTGTATAATAATAATAATATTATTTGTTCGATATGTAGCGTGTACCATTTCGGAGAGAGTGGTCAGGTTATTTTCATTCGGTCGGCGGATGTATAGTCATAACCAGACATCGTGTAAAAGCGAGTTTGTCAGTATTTATTATAGTAAGTTGTAATGTCAAGCATACATCGGGAAGATTGTTGCCGTGTATACCTAGGTAACGGTAAATTTCTATTTGTATAATTGTAATGAATGTTTTGGGCGCACGCGACCAGTTTAACCCGTGCGGCAAGTCCCTGGACTAAGAACTATGTCGACGAAGATAATAAGCCACGTCTGAAATCGAACAACCATAATATAATAAATAATACACAAAGTCCGCGATGAAAACGACTTATATTTATAGATTTCTTGACAATTTGAGCAAAATCACCATTAAACGACGGGTGATCAACGAACTGACGTCTAAACGGATATTCGTTTATTTTATTGGCAACGGCCTACAATGGTGCAGTGACCTTAATCCGAAAATCTGTATGATATTATAATATATATATATAAGATTATTCGCTATATGTTATTATACAAGTGATCTGGATGACACTAAACCAATAACCATATCATTATTATTTGGTTTTGAATATCACGCACATGTTGATGTGTATGACCACGCAAAAACGCATGCCGACGACGGCTTGGCACAAAAGATCGATACACACAGAGATATGAAAGAGCACCGTGTAATATATATTATCGTTATTATGAAAAAGGTTAAAAGCGAGACGAATACAAACGCGTTCTGGAACGTCAAAATTTAAAAAGAAATAATCGGGAAAAGTTAGTTTTACCGGTCGTTTTACAAAAATGTCCTACTACACGCAGAGAGAGCACAAAATCATGTAAGTATGTAAACGAAAATGTAGTCCTGTCCAATAAAAGTGTACCGGCTATGCCTATTTAGTTTTTTTTTTATAAATTATTCCGAATTTTTTTTACCATCATAAATTCTTAATAGAAACTACAATTTTTTGGGTACCTACCTATATTACCATATTAACTCTTTGTGGTTTTGCTTTGAACTTTACTCAATAACACTATAATATTTCACTGATTTCACTGTGTCATAATATGATCAGTGTGCGCTTAAAAATGGTTGATTAGGTATACAAACTGAATATACTGATAAAGTATATTATGTAATTTATAAGTTATAACCAATCAACACATACCTATACTATAGGAGTACTGCAGGGCAGATGCAAAGCTAATTTTTTTATGTTTCTAATCTCTTTAATATAACTTGCATTTCACTACACACACTATAAAAAACCTAAACGTGACGTTATAATATTACTGTAAATATCGGATTAAATAAATAAATATTCCATACACGTTTTCAATAAATTTAGTCATCAGTATATCGTCTTAACAAAGGTTGACAGTTACGTTACACAGCTTAAAAACGGTTAAACCGAATTTGTATTTCAATAAATTATGCAAATATAAGGGAAATTGAATTCCTTGTTAAAAATGCAATAAAGCGTCGTATTTTTTTAAATAAATTAATCATAAAATGAACTATCTTGATATTTTAAGCTATAATAAATTATTGCCACCTATTTATAATGTAATAAAAAAATGTGCTGTGGTTACTATACATTTAATGACTGCAGTCCACAACATTAAATTACTGTATTATAAAATATGGTACTCATAACTTTGCAGTTTACATAAAATTGTTGTAAAGAAGTGAATAAATTTATATTCAAATTAACATCATAAACTGTTACAACTTACAAATTTAATAATAATTAATTCAATAATGTATATATACGCTTATTTTCAGTGAAAATAACTACCTATTAAGTATTCACATCATTGGACAATAATATCCTATAAATTAATTTAAGCCGTAATCATAGTGTCTGGTCTTAAAGGGATGATTTTGTGTTATCGCGGTGAAGTTGTTTTGGTTTCTCGATTTACCACTGAGTTTTATGAATTTTTTTTTTCGACATTTATTTTAATTATAAATAAATATTTAAACCATGTGGTAGGTACAAATATAAATTTGTTTTTAATGTATTGAAATGAATGGATTATTAATTATAAATGTTAAAATATTACTATATTATTACATATTACAACTTCTCACGTTTGGCTATATTATTGGAAAATTTAAATTGCTGCCTATGCAAGTACGAATGAATGCATACAACAACTTAAAGAGTTGCTAGTCACTACATTAACAACAACAATCTTATAAACGGTTTCTTAACATAATATGTATGTATAACATAATGTATGTCATGCTCAAATCAGAGATACAAAGGGGTATCATCAAAAACTATTTCAATGTAATTTATAAAAACCAGTGAATAGTAAAGTCAAAACATTCGCAAAGAATATAGTAATAGCCAACAGCTAATATTGTGTGTCAAAATTGTAAATTCGTGTTATTATTGGAGCGATGTTCTAAGATGGCAAGCAGTATAATGATTGTGAAAATTAATTAGTCTTATAAAAACGGTAGTTACGATTAAACAAATAGGTAACAACTATAATATTGTAATCAGTTTTTGATAATATAAGTACTTATTCCTATAATATCTACGTGTCCAATCAATGTCGTCTGTATGGTGCCCATGCCACTTGCCTAAAAAACGTCGAAAATGTCATTTGTACAGAAAACTAGGACAACGAGTCGTTGAAATGAATTTGATGAGAATTATCATCAGAGGAAATTACTAAATAATCTAAATGCAATTTTCCGGTTATCTGGTAATGTATGTACCGTAAATACATATTGCTGTTGGGCATTATACCGCGTCAACCTAAAATTGTGTTTTTTTGGACTTGATTTTTCACTAAATATACTATGTAGGTATTACTAGGTACATACTCTCGCATATATATTATGTACCGATATACCATGTACCTATAACCTCGTATATACCTACATATAGCTAGTCCCATTGAAGATAATTACCGAAATTACGATATAATAATACCGTGTCGGTGTCACATGTGACGCATATGTGTGTATAGTATAAGTATAATATGATATGTGAAATGAGATTTTGGAAATTTCTGTACGCGGGTATATAGGTATTACTAATCTAATATTATTACAAGGAGGATTTAGAAATGTATATAAACTGTTATAAATGTACAGTATAATAATATTTGAAAGTAGCTGTATATGTTCGATCGTGAAAATATGAACAAAATATTTAAAATATGGCGCTTTATAGGTATAATACTCCATACATTTGTGAACTAATTTGACCGATACTTGGTATATTTTCTAACTAATCACTGAGTTTTTCTGATACCTCTAAGAACAATTTGAAATTTTCGTCAAAATTGGTCGAGTATACATATACTTAAGCTATCATAAATAAAAAAATGTATTTTTTACTGCTATTTTCCAGTTTTTATTTTTTAAAACGACACCAACCATTTATATTTGCATATACCTACAACAGGTACCGACGCAGAATATTTTTGCGAGGATTTTAATATTCAAAAAAATCGAAAATAAAATCAGAAATCAATTAATAATATTATAATAGTATTTAAATTCGTCGGGATTCCATCGCAGAGAATGAAAAAAAAAAAACGATGACAACTAATAGTGTATTTATCCGGTTTTTCGCGCTCAACAGCTAATATCGGTGGTGGTGATGATGTAGTCACTTTCGGCGGTCGAATTAACATAATAAGACATAGGTACCTTATAAGGTACTATATAGATAGGTACCCATAACCACCTGTAGCACTGAACGCGGGAGCGGTCCGACGCGTTAATTAAAAGCCATCG